GTGTGGTTTGTCTACTATGTTCTTAGTAATGCAGATTCTACCTCGTTTTGCGTAGCTAGTTCTGTGTCCTCTGCCATAATATTCGTGAATTCCAGCATCGACACATTAAATTGCTACTATTACAAACGCTGCGCATGCATTGAAGTCGGCATCGTCAGTGAGAGATGCCATCGCTTGCACAGAGTTACAGCTTATTAAAGTCACGAATCAAGGTAATCTCCAGGACCAGCTTTCTTTTCAACCGTTGTGGCCTCAATCCTTCTAGTGCTGCATATCTTTATCTCAAACCCTCTTCATTTGGCCCATCTACCTAATCACATAACTATGTTATATCGTTTCCTCTAATGTCGCCTAACAGTAGCGACTCACTTAAGTGGCTCACTCTTAGGCGATATTAGAGGAAAGGAGAGCATATAATTGTGTAAATAAGTGGATGGGGTATATAAAGTGGGGTTGAACGAAAGAGATGCAGCACTAGAAGGTAGAACGAATAATAGGGGCAAGAAGTGATGCTACAACGGTTGAAAAAAAAGTGATCAGGAGTATTGTCTGTATTCGTTACTAACGATGGCGCCTTCTACTAACGATGCAGGCAAAAGATTTGAAAATATACTAAGTCAATACCAAGATGCTAGAAATCCCGAATACTAGAGCAGAGGACACGAGACTAGGTACGTTCTAAATGGTTTCCCTGACGCTTCCATGGAGGTGCAAAAACTAGATTTAACCAACACTCTAAAGCTAAAGTATACTGAGGTCAAACAGAAGGCTACACTATCTTTGCCTTCATAAATATGCTCTTACTAAAGTTTAATGAACGCATAAAAGAATTTCTATCTTATTTAGGCAGCCTTCACAACAGTATCTATTTATAATGCTAAAATTATTTATTTTTTAGTGTATATCATTAATACAAACGATCACTGATCACTGAAATTTAAATTTAATATTAAAATAGCAAGATTTTTAATTAATGCATGATAAAAAAACATACTGCAATAATTTTTTATGCTAATAATGTTTATATTTGTATCTACATTATTTCATTGTTTAAGGCATGATACAAATGTTTTTATTCTTATATAATTTGACTTGCCATTTCGAAATCTATTCTCATGTGGGTATGTTGGTCTGTTTTACAGTTCTTACTATTACTTATATTTAAGGGCAAATATGCGGCCCAAATAATTCTCGCAGGGGCGCGCCTTGTAGGTAGAGCATTTGGGCAAGCATTGAAGGAAGAGTATGCGACCAGTCAGCAGTATGCAAAGGCTCGCCAAGGTCAGTCCAGTACAACGAACGACTCCAAAGCTGATTTTATAACGGGAATGACGCTTGAAGAAGCCAAAAACATACTCAATGTCAAGGATATACACAATCCTAATATCATGAGCAAAAATTTTGAGTACCTCTTTAAAGTCAATGACAAAAAAGTCGGAGGATCATTATACCTTCAATCCAAGGTAAAATAATTCTCTTCAGCTTTTCCTGTTTTTATACCACTCAAGTTAGCTCAGCGTATGACAATTATTATTTTTATATAGCTCATTAGAATGTTAAATATTTAGGAGTTTTGAAATTCCAATTTAAATGTTATTACTAGCTTCCATATTTCCTATTTTTTGTAATATTTAATAATCTATTTTTAAATAAGGTTAAAGCTTAAATATTTCTTAAATTCTTTGCTAATATTAAAAGTCTGTAGTAAGGCAGTGTTATGATTAATAGTCCGTCACCTTGAAGTGGTTATTTGTTTCTAATTTACTTCCGAGATTTTTTATTAGGCCTGTAGGCGGCTTATATTTGTGAACTGCTTTCCAAAGGCTTCTGGATTTATTTGACAATATCTGCATCATCTTAACCTTCTTTATGAATAATGTATTTAGATGTACACAGCTCTAATAAATTATTTTGGGCTATCGGTTACTCTAATTCTAATTTATGCCTAGTTTTCTGTTTTATACACACTTAAAAAGTCATTTCCTAGTCAATTTGGTAGGGTAAGCCTCCATTAAAGCAATACTAAGCTAGACTATGGTCTGCTCCTTATTATGATGTCTTGTGGTTATTCGTAATTAGTGTCACTTCATGTTTAACATATCCATTACCCACATAACTACAAAACAGCAACCCTGCCGAAATTCTCAAAACATCTGGCCTTAGTATTTTTAGCTGGCACTGTCTATGTTTATCTAGTAATTTGGAGGGAGAAATTTTAGTTAAACGCCCTAGAGTATATTTAGTCAGCAGTTTAATATTATAATACAGCTTCCATGATGCCTGAGAACTCTATGTATGAATAATCTGCTAAATTAATTCATATCCAATTTTATAATGCATAATAAGACTCCCAACAAATTGGAGGGAATATCACCTATAGAAGTTGTCTAATCTCGTTTTCGTAACTTGGTCGTTTTGTCAAAGACATCTAATTTAATACACCTTGTCAGAAGTCCCGTGTTTTAATAGATATAATTCCCAGTGTTGGATTGTGGATTGGGTATATTCTCAGAAGTTTCGCCGGACCAAACCATTCTCTATGAATACTTGTTGAATTAATTAGCTTATCTGATAAATTGCCTGAAGAGGTACGGAATTGTATTGAACTGGAGGTAATCCCTCATTTTGGCCATATAATACCACCAAAGAAAGATTGCCATTTTAGTAGGGTTTCAAGATATCTGTGTGGTAGTAATCTAATTGTAATGAAAGCCGATTAAGAGGGAGCAATGGTAGTCATGGGTAAGTCAAGTTATGAAGAAAATATGAAAGTTCATTTAAATGACAATGATACGTATAAACCTTTACTGAGATATCCAACAGAAAGACTTAAGACTAGGCTGAAGGATGTCCTTAAAGCATGCGTAAGTAATGGAGAAATGTAAAATAAATTCACTACTCCAGAGATGCAAGGGCTCCCACGGCTTATGGTCTCCCTTAGGTTCACAAGGAGGGTGACCCTCTAAGATTAATTATAAATAATATAGGAAGCGTGATGCATACAACTAAGGAACTTTGCCAATTATTGGCCATATTCAGTTAAAAATTCGTATGATTTTGTGAAATTTCTAAATCAGCAGGCAATTTCAGAAGAGGATAGGATAGTAAGTTTTGATGTTGTGTCTATGCACACAAACATTTCTGTCCATGGAGCTATTCAAGCTCTGATATAAACTCTGGAGGAGCATCCAGAGATAGAATAAGGAATAAGGCTGAGTGTAGCTTTCATTATTAGACTTATTAACCTACGGGACTAGCGATGGGATCCTGCCTGGCTCCCATCTTGGCAAACAATTATGTGGCAAGATTGGATGAACACTTCCTGTAAGAGGCAATACTAATCCACAAATTGTTGGTTAGCTACATGGATGACTTGTCATCTGGCCTCATGGTAAGGAAAATTTAGAAAATTTCCTACTTTCACTCACCCAGCGTGAAAGGAGATTAGGTTCACAATGGAAATGAAAGAGCAAGTTCTTACCTTTCATGGATGTTATCATCATTAAAGAATATGGTAAGTTAGAAAGAGATGCTTATAGTAAGCCAACATATGTTGGCTCTGCCTAATTTGCTTTCCAATGAGTCTTGCCATTCTAGGCATAAAGCTACCGCTCATCTCTTTGATGATTAAATAAATTGAGTTAAGCTGAGTAAATTTGTTCTTTTTTTCTTTTATCAGGTCTTTCGGGCAAAAGAACGTATTGACGAGGAATTGAGAACAGCCAGTCAATCACCCAAGGATGACCCAGAGTAGCCTATCAAATAAGTGGTGCAACCCACCTGCTCTATTTGGACAATTTTATTCTTGAACATCGCGCCACTTTTATTACATCGATCTTTAATTCATAGATCGCTTTCGGTTCAAAACTTGTCCAAATGTGCCATCAAGTTGTGTATATTTACAGATGGTGATCTATTTTGCTAGTCATTTTCATCTCTTGTACTTGATGCACTTATCTCACTCGGTTTGTATTAGCTTATATACCCATGTAGCCTCAATTTGATTTTCTTTTTTTCGCTCACCTACATGTGTGTGATTAACGACGGGTGATTTTTATTTCCTTCGTTTTTCCTTGTATACAAGAATCTCGAACTTTGTATGCATATATATATATGTATATATGCATGCTTACTTACCGCGTAAGCGCATTCCCCTTCAGGCTTAGGTAAAAGACGTTTTTCCTGTATAAGCTTATTTTGGGATGCGGCAAGCTACCAGAAATAGGCGTCTACAGTTTGCTCATATAACGCGGGTTTAATCAAGGAGACGACCCATTAAGACATTGCCTAATATTTTCAAGAATTTGAATCACAGCCTAGGTGCTCTGCTCAGTGAGACGTTAATGTACATGCTTGTAAATGGCTTGAGATATAGCACCTGGAGTAAAACCTGCACTGGTAGTGGATCCGTCAACTGGAAAGATAAGAAACGGATCTATAGTCCCATAAGGCAGATCCGGACAGGAGGCCCGTGTCGGATCAGCCACTCAAAAGGGAGCGGAGCAAGGCAAACAGCAGGTGTGATGACAAAGCACTAAATTTTCCAAAAAAAGACACCTTTTGACGTATGAATGTAAACAAGTCAGAAGTTGTGATATGGCAGGAATAGGATAAGAGAGTAAGAAGTAGATAGATGTGCCAGGACAGAAAGAGGAGTCGTAGCACAATCGTTTCGGCAGAAAGTTGGCAAAGGGATTGACTCCACTTGCGTCTTGACAAACTGTTGCTTGGTGCTAAAAATGGCAAGACTCACTGATGATGCCGGCGAAAAGTCTGAGAATATACCAAGCCCATGATTTGACACTGGAAATTACCATGACTACTATGACAGAGAACTTCGGACAACTAAGTCTCCCTCACAAGACCAAGTTGCTCAAACGAGGTTTCTATCATTTTCCTAATTTTGCTAATTTATTTATCTTTCACTTATCTTAGGTAAAGTGATAAAAGCTTGCTTTTTTCATTTACCTTGAGCCAAGTTAAAAAATTTATTTCGATGATCCCTATATAACTAGCTGCATTGTTTTCCCACTTTTCCTAGTGGTGAATATGAAACGCATACACCCGTTCATTATCATCTTAACTTTGCCAGATACTTCTGGCCATTTTTAATTTATCATTTTCAGCTTTTCCTCCAGGTCGCCACAATTGATTGGTCGTTTTAACTATGCAAACATAAATTTAATTCTTCATATAAAGGGCGAGTAGATGCCCGCATGAGGCATTGTGACACTGTTTGCCAGGTTTACCTTACTGTATGTTAATGAAATAAGGGCTGATCTCCTCAGGACTTGAAAGAAGGTTCTACTCGGCATTTCTTGATAATACTAGGAAGTTTAAGCTACTCAGACCTAAGTAGATCCTCCTTCGTTTGAAGCTAAAGGGCAATAAATTTTCATCCATCAATCAACATACTCTTATAACTGTACAACAGCTATCCCTAATTTGGAATTCTGTCTATCTATGTATTGTTAGTGTGTATATACCGTGTCCAACACATGCCGTACATGATGAAGTGTGCAATTCTGTATGAAATGATAGCATTTCAAGGAATTGCTAGGATAGATTGATTGATAAATAGGCAACAGATTGCACGAAATAACAAACTTGAGAGAAAATAAGGCAATAGGAATAGGGGTCTTAAAGAAAACAGCAAATACAGCTGATGAGCAGAGGCACAAATAGATCTGTCGCGAGCCAGTTGATGATTATGTTACGTTTTACCTGGTTACATTAAAACCCAGATCACAGAAATTACCGGAGGACGAATTTCATCAGGCTGTGCTACCGCGTTGCTAGCTTGCAGCCGAGAGGGAAACTCATCCAAGTCTGACTAGTAGAGGCCGGATAGCGGCATAAACCCAAGGCGTAAGAAAAATGTGGTAGGGTGGAAATGTCGAAAAGACTGAGCGCCAATTGGAGCTAGGACCGGAGAGAAGTGGAAGTTAACGGAAGGGGTCAGCATTACGAGACTAAATAATAACGAGATAAATAATAACTAAATAATAAGGAGATTGAGTAAAGTCGATAAGGAAACAGTTCTTTCTAAGACGAGGTGGGTGGAAGATATTATGGAAGGGAGGAGTCCTTTGAGTGTGTTATGATAAGTCGATTGAGAAAGGACTTGTTTGTCACCTCTGTAGGGTCGTATCTATGACAATCCTCATGGACGATGGCGAGCATAAGGCCAGCGAAACTCTTTCGTTGAGGAAAGAAAGTGTGAAAACAAGGCCAGAAGATAGCTTGTGAATTCCGAATTGTGTGATTGCGACCACACAAAAGGCCACACCATCTTAGTCTTCATACCCTAGATAAAACCAAATGTTTGAGCATAAACTTTTGTTAATAAAATTAAACCGTGTAAGACGATTGTCAGACAATTGACATCGAGCACAATTGAAGTTGGATTAAGAGGAAGAATTGCAGCGCAAGAAGGTAGGACAAAAAATAGGGCGACAATGGTTGAAGATAAAATTGGTCAAGATGACTGCCTTCATTTGTCGCTCTGATAAGTTGTAACTCTGTTCTGGCGATTGCACTTCTCAATGACGACCCCGGAGAAAAATTTGCGAAGGTATCGAGTCAATGATGGAAATTACGAATACTATGGCAGAGGGCACAGGACAAGGTACGCTCCACAAGGTCTCCCTGACGCTCCGACCAGGTTGTGAAAACTAGGTCGAACCAGGAATAGGAGTTTTTGCTTTACTTCTTTCTGCTATTGTTTACCTTCTATGTATTGCATATTCGGCTGATTTTAATGGTCTTTATTTTTAAGTTCAGCCGCAGATATCCCAATTAACAAAAATACAAGTTTGAGATCATTCAATTTCATGTCTAGTTGCCACCGTGTGCTAAGCTAGCTATTATTTGTGAACCTAACAGCTGCTACAGGCGATTTGGGGCTCGGCTACACTTTGCCGAATTGGACGACAAGTCTCTCCATCATAAAACCGACCACATGAACACATTATTTTATAACCACTTGATCTGGATAATGAGTAAACTTTCTCTAAAAGTGTACACAACACAAGAAAGTGTAATTGTTTAGATGAGGACCGTTTTATTCCCCATTTCTTTACTGGTTTGCCTGTCTTGCTATAGAGGATGCACGCAGGCAAATGCCAAATACAGAAAAGGGCCTCCAACTTAGGTATTCAACATTCAAAAATGTATTCTCTAATGACCTAATGTTAATTGAAATAGGACCTAAGGGTTAATTATTATCGATAAGTATTGTTAGGGGCACTTTCATTTCGTATAAAAATGCATGAAGAAGATATTCGTTAGTCGATCTCACTAGAAGAGGACGGATGAATCCCGTTGTACTGCAGCCGTTTGGATTTTATACGATGACGTTCAGGTTGATGAAGTCCACAAGACCTCCTACC